TATGGATGGAAGGATAAATAGATAGATAGAAAATCAGCACGAAGCATTCATATCAACGACTGATTCACATAACACTATTTTGGATATGATTGAAGACGTTTAAAACCACCCACTGGGCAACAGTTGTCCTGACTCAGTGAATGCGTTCGTGTAGCCTCGCTTGCGAAAGCATATAAAGGGCACATATATACATGTACCAATACTTCTTTGTACGGTGGTCCGTACGTGTGCACAATCACGGCGATAGTTACTTCATACTACTAACATGAAGTCGCCAACTTCATACTACTAACATGAAGTCGCCAAAATAAATTATCAAATCATGTAACCCAGTGAATTCGTCCATATAGTCTTCGGAAATATACCCGTTAAGGAGGCAGGGGCGCTCATCCTATTTATATCCTGCAGATGAGTTCACGTGGTTCACAGCTCTATGCTGTACTAAACGCTCTATGGCTGGCTAGTCGATTCACTCACCACTCAACACTCACCACTCACCACTCACCACACCGGCCTGTTGCGTGGCTGAAGTGTGTATGTTATTTATATATTTATGTTCAACCTGCGACAGTGTATGTACGACAATCGAGTGTATACATAAATACATATAAAAAGCCTACAGCCCTAGTAGTAGAGAGAGACCTAACCTCAATACGTTTTGCGTTGAAACTATTGAATATACGTTTACTTTGTGATGGCCCTATATTCAAAGGTTTCAGTCGTTCTTTCTATATGATGTCCATTTGATTATATCGAACTATAGGTCGATTCTTTTCCTAGTCTTTTGACCCATATAAACGTTAAATCGAATTGTACTTCCATGAAACGATGCAAGAGATTGTGTTGAACACCCACTAACCTACACAAGAAGCCTACTACAAGTACCCCAGTACCATTTGCGAGGTACTATACTATATGTACTACTACATGCGTAAAAGCACTTGCATATACATATAACTAACCCACACAAGAGGCCTCCTACAAGCTAACTCGAGTATATATTTACCATTTGCGAGGTACTATACTATAGGTACTACTACATAAGTAAAAGCGCTTGCATGTACATATGACTAACCCACACAAGAAGCCTACTACAAGTTAACTCGAGTATATATTTACCATTTGCGAGGTACTATACTACATGTACAACTTGCATATGTAAAAGCTTTTGCATGTACAGATGACTAGGCCACACAAGAGGCCTACTACAAGCTAACTCGCGGTATATAGTTACCTCTGTGAGGTACTATACCACATGTACTACTACACGTGTAAAAGCACTTGCATATAAATATGGGAGCGTAGTTGCGTGTAATATCAATCGAATCTGTCGGTCGCCGTGTGCACGCGCGTCTCTCGGCGGTTGACCACGAGCACTTGTACGATCGAGCCGTTGAGGGTTAAAACTTACACACGTATTTATTAAAATATATGAAAAGAGTTAATGTTAGGCGCTTGCAAACTCGTACAATCTCGCTAGACAGATTTGTATACGGGAAACCCTCCACTCGAACACCTTCGCAGCTACCAGACGAAGCTAACGGGTAATACGCGTTAACTATGGCCAGTTGGCCACAGAAACTAGCGTATTCTTTTCTACACGTTTTCAGTGGTGTATTTCAATGCGTTGTCAGAACTACAGCCTAACAGCACACATGGCCAGTTTTAGATTTCGTTAGAACAGGGACTGACATTCCCCCAGTCTCTCAGACACTCAACAATGCAAAGAGAACCAAAGATGAGCCGCTTCTGCAGCATTTCAGTTTTATTAGATATACTTGCACAACTGCTCTACAACCGATATACATATCTACATGTGCATATGCACACGCACACGCACACACACGCAATGTATGTGTCCGTATACACAGATGAAGTGCATGCTTGTTGCAGTACCAATCCCCACACGTAACCACGCTCGCGAGATGATTACCGCCTAAATTTGTGAACTAATCTTAGCACGCAGTCTCTATGTACACGAAGCCTACCGGGTAGCTCAACCGAGATACCCGCTCAAGCCGCCGGGAATCGAGCCCTCCTCCATTCGCGACATCTTCTAACAAGCTTTGAATCGCCTGGCACGTACACTCACATGCATGTACTTGCGTGTACACTCACATACATGTACCTGCACGCAAGTATAATACATGTGCCTTGTATATGAACGTATCACGGGTGGAGCGCGTTGTGCCTTGACACCACCATATACTAGTCGTTTCGTTTAACACAGGGAGTATCGAATATGCTGTGTCGTGTCACATTGACACTCCCACCGGGGTATATACACAATTAGATATACAATTATTTACAAGTTATTTATATCATCTACGTCGTTAACAGCTCTTCGTCGTGCTGGGCGGGGGCTCCGCTGAAGCCACCTGTGATGTACCGAACGAGATAAACCGGATCATTTAGAATACGTTTTCATAGAGAGAAATAGTTTTTAACGCTAAACAAACAAACCACGGACACCCATACGCAACAACCTCCCTTAACACACGTATTGGTGCATTGCAAAGGCGCACCCACACCCACCCACGTGACAATCACATGACGGAATAAGACACGTTCAGATCACAAGTGACGGATTAAGAAACGCTTAGACCACACGTGACGAATTAACTAACCAACCCACCAACAAAACGTACCCATATTCTGACCGTAGTCGTTCGCGGCCTGACTCCGCTGGGGAGGGGGCGCGGCCATAGTCATGGGCGGGGGGATGGGTGCATCGGGCACGTGGTCCAGTTGGGGACGGGAGGACGATGCAATGCCGTGGTTAATAGCTATACTCAGACCCTCAATGAGCGCCAGCATCACACCACCGAAGAACGCCGATCGACTGGCCACGGAGAGTCCACCCCGGGCGGCTAACACGCCACCTGTCAGAGCTCCACTGGCAATGGCGTTCCAGGGGTCTTCCTGAGAGGAGGTGGGGGATGGGGGTGGGAAGGTGAGAAGAGAAGGATGATAGAGGAATGAGAACATATATACAACAGGCGTGCTGTAGATAAAGATAGATAGAATGGTGCCGTGGGTATTGGAGGGGAGACCCGCGGATCGATTAGACACCCGGCGTATTACACTGATAGCGCTTGACTGAGATTCACCCTGCTACTGACGATCTCTCGCGACTACGTAGATGATCTAGTTTTGACAGAAACGCTTTACATTCGGGTGCATTAAGATGGCGAAGACAATGTGGACACATGGGACAGCCGATTCTTGGACTACATAGGTGGTACAGGGTATATATATATATACCGTAGGCATGAGGGAATGGTTCTAATATAAGAGATGATCAATACATACGCATATTAACTACCAAATAAAGCACAAAATAAACTACAAAATCTATTGTATGCGATGATGAGGTAGCACTGAAAGCACGACTACAATACACTACAACCTCTTTTATTGGCGCAAGTTATAGATAGAGGTTGTCAGATGATACAAGTTCAGGAAATAATACCCTATATACCGAAACCCCGTCCCAGATACTCTGAATCTGAGGTTTTACGAGTGCGCATCGAAGCATGTACAGACAAGATATAACCATTATATCTTTAACTATTCATCATACATATATATATATATATATTAAAAATATATGCGTATAATATATATATTTATATATATATATATATATATTTATATATATATATGTGTATATATATATACGACTGACTCCGAATATGCAGATAGTAGACAATAGATTTAGCACTACTTATACAAGATAGACGAACATGTATAATGAACAATAATCAAGCACGAGAACAGACGTCACCGCATTCCATGGACAGTCTAAACTCAATCAACTCAAACAGTCATATCACAGGCAACCAACCAACCGACAAACCACACAGACGCACATACTCTCTATAAACAGCAAGACAACAATCAAAACATCCGACAAAGGAAACTTAAAAGGCTGCCGATACGCATTCAACACACTCACACAACCCGCTCTCCATAGGTGCCATACCTTCTGTCTGAGATATACGAGTGTGCAGTCGAAGGTTGAGAACATGCCTCCCCACGCAGCAAAATTGCCACCCATCACTGGAGCTCTGGCTTTGATGGCCGACAGACTGCTTCTGAAGCGTATGCCGGGAGGTGCGTTCTTGAACCCCTTACCCGCATGCCACAGAGCTCCACCAATAGCGCCCATGGCGAAAGCTCCACCGAAATCATCGATGATTCGGTAGGGACTGAGAGAGAGAGGGGATGGTATTGGGTAGGTATTAGTTCTTGATCAGGTTGTAGGTAGATATCGGTGTCTATAAATAGAGTAGGTGGGTACGAGTGTTTATTGGTAGGGTGGTTGCAGTGCCAATGTCCGGAACGCGTGTCGTGGAGTGTGAAGGGTTCGTATAGACCCTAACAACCGAGATCAGTAGAGCCATATAATATGCTACTCAACCCCCTGACAAAAACAAACTAACGAATTTTTCGATTATCTAGCAGTGGCATACGATGACAAAGAATAAATACTTCCAAGCAGATACGAAATATATAACAGGTCCTCATATAGCGTATGATAGTGGAAGATACAATAATTCAAGAGATGCTTCACATACGATGGTATCGAAACAATCTGTGGAAATCTAATACGCAAATAAAATGTATGTGTGTGTATACACCATGTGTATATGTATACACGTATTTGTAGTTGTATATGTATATTATTAATCACATATATAAGTATATGTATATATGTATATATACAAGTATAGATGTATATATATATTATGCACCTTTATATTCTGATCGAAGTATACCATTGAAACGAGGAGTAAAACAATACCTCGGTGAAAAAGATATTTAAAAGTAACAGTCTCCTTCGACATCAAATCAAAGTGTACACTGAAGCCAAAAACTAGACTAACGCACAATATACTACGAAAGTTGATATAAAACATAGTGCTTGTCGGTATCATCAATTGAGCATATTGGATATATACTCTACGATCGAACACAAGCTCAACTGAATTAGCAAATACATAAACTGCCTCACGATGGTCATATACCTGGGTTTATGTGCATACTTCGCGCGCATATAGCTCAGCAGCACTATCACTTATACAATACATGAAACGCAATTCGTGGCTGTTTATGCAGACGTCTATACTTGGACACTCAGAATTATAAATGAACACTAAAACAGGCACGGGAAATGATTTCAAAGACGGTTTATATTCTGAAACGACAATAAAAATATAGTATGAATATACAGACATACTCGACACAACGAATTCGATTTGGGAAGAATGTAATATATCCAACTGATCAGAATAATAGTGACCGATTGTAGATCTGTGCACAATAGAGTATATACACAAAGCTGTACACTATGTACGCCTGTTGAAAGTTATAATATTGATCTAATAAATGTATAGAGCTGCGCAACTGACAAAGCAGTTTTGCAGATATAGATCGATACACACACTGCAAAATATATATGGTAGAATTCTTGATATGTTTAAAACATTCACACAATTTCATCATTTTCTTCAATTCATTCACGTCTACCTATTAATGCATCCATATTTGACGAGGATAGATGGAATAACCCGTTGATTTGGGGCCTGATTCAAAGTGCATCCAATAGCATAATAACAAGACGTCCGAGTGTACACCACAATATGAACGCGCTCGTCGACTACGGATCAACAGGCAAAGAAGCTCCCATATGATATGCGCCGAAGTGAACACCACATGCAGCAAACCCCAACATGTCGATTGATAGACGCAAATCTAAAGTATCGCCGCAAGCAGACTTGTATAATAAATAATTACATGCCTATGAGTATTCCACATCATAACATGGACGTTATTCGTACATTACATTGTTCTACCACCTGAACACGAAGGATGCAAATGAAACATACCAGGGGTCACGGTATCCTTCCTCCATTGTATATTTGTGTGTTGTTTATGTACAAATACTATGTATGTGTATAATTAAGGATATGTATTTATATATATATTACATATATATATATATATATGTATGTATATATGTGTGGGGTATAGGGTCGCTATGCGTATATGTGCCCTGACTATGTGGAAGTCGTGTAAATATATGTCTTTCAAATAAATGCATGCCTATCCAAGCAGGAAAAGGGGTTCAGTCATATATTCGACGAATTTATAATAATTAAAAAAAGATTAAATATCGTATAGAGAAGAACGTAGACCACACGCACACTGACACACTCCCACAAAGTATACTGCACCACTCGTCCTCGATCGCATAGGGATGTTGACCCAAATTCCCATATGTATCCAAAGTGACAGACAGTGTGACAAATGACACCTTCAGGTTCAAACAGAGCGTGGGCTAAAAAAAATCATGCGGAGTTGTGGACATGCGAGCGCGAGAGCGAGTGCGAGAGCGAGTGCGACACCTGGTTGAGTCAGTTTGTGCACAAAACGTATTTATAAATAGTATGTTCCGGACTTCGGTTTTTATATATACGACGGGGTAGTTGTGTTTCAAATTGCCGGCACGCTGCCCAATTTGCTCGTCAGAGGAACGCGGATACCCAAACGTACGTAGTTTACGACACATTACGGGATAAACAACGTCGTCGTAAATTGGGTAGAGTTGTCATAGATTTCCGATGATGGAGTACACTAAACACTTGTGAACTTGTGACTTCACAAGAGTTCATAGGAATTCTATTTTTAAACATATACGCTTTACGTTTTCATGAAGGAGCAAAACGTAAAAAGCACAAACAAAAATGCTGACAGTTTGTTTTGTTAATTTTATTCATGGCCCTCTGGATTTGAGTCAGCGCTAAATTTACGATTTCCGGTCGTCGGAAGAAACCTGATTTCGATTTCTGCTCGAGACCCAAATCCAGAGGGCATGTTCTATTTTTATATTATGTGTGGTCCGCGTATTGTAATCTATTCCAGCAATGGCTTATTTTGTCTCGCCTCTTATAACGGGCGGCTGTACTACTGGCACGTATGATAACATATCACATGTATGATAACATATCAGGCCTAGGTGAGAGTGAACCCTGCTACCACTGTCGCGAGTAACCTTACAGGTTTCCAGCATCATGGCTGTACCATCATTAGGTGAGCAAAGGGATTCTACACACACGTAACGTATGTTTGAAAGCTTTTTTTTCTTGTGCTTACGGCACTATAGAGAATATATATATATATATGTGTGTGTGTGTGTGTGTGTATTTGTATATGTGAATATACATATATATATATATATGTGTGTGTGTGTGTGTGTGTGTGTGTGTGTTATATATGTGTGTGTGTGTGTGTGTGTGTGTTGTGTATTNTAGTATATATATATATATATATATATATATATATATAGTATATTATATATATGTGTGTTGTGTTGTGTAAATGTGTGTAGCTCAATACTGCCTTGTTCATGCTACAAAGGTCTTCCGTCACCACTCACTTGATATCACATTACAAACCACCTCTGAGATGCTTTTAACGGCGACCACTGCTGACCCAAATCATAATATATTTTGTATCTGCTGCACTGTTAATAGACGAGACTTCAATTCAAGTCAGGTTTGACGCTGTGGGAGATACAGGCCGGTTTGAAATCGAACTGGAGTTTGTTCAATCACTTGGAGATCCATCATATCTAAATTGTAGGTTTTACCTACAAAAAATAAGACAATCTTACGTGAATGAGTGTGTGGTCATAGAAGTATATAAATATTTATATGTATGTATTTGTATGTATATGTATATATATATATATGTGTGTGTGTGTGTATTTATGCAAGTATGTGTGTGTGTATGTATGTGTGTATGTATATATATATGCAAGTATGTGTGTGTATATATATATGTGTGTGTGTGTCGTTGTCTGTGTCTGTGTCTGTGTCTGCGTGTAAGAACGTATGTATTTGTGTGTGTGTGTGTGTGCATGTATATGCATATGTTCTAGCACCATAGCAGCTCAACTCATAACAGCTTGTACACCTCACTATCAAGATACCTTTGGTTGTCTGGATTGTCCGGCGTCTAGTCCTCGGTTCCTGGGTCACCGTCATCTGACCTCTGCGTCGTTGATGTTTGTTTTGGTTTGGCGTTTGTAAAGGATTCATTAGTCCTTGTTTTCTTTTTGTTTCTTTCGTTTGTAATATGGTTCTTAGTACATTGTGATGCACTTTCATTAGCTGCGCTGTCTTGCTCAAGGGGGGGGTACGCAGGGTCTTGTGATGGGCCTGACTGTGTGGTTCAAGATTTTGTTACTGATCAGTTCCTTGGCACTTTTGACTGTATAGCCATATACTACAAAAAAACTCCGATCGCAGTATTTAGAGCGCCCACCCAATTGTCTTCTCATGTATACACACACATATATATATATATAGTCGCCTGTGCGCGTGCACTGGGAACAGCTTGGTTGATGGTTGAACGTTACGGTGCATGTACTACGCAGACTACAAAGACCCAATAATAGACCCAGTCAGCCTCAGAGTGACATTACTGCGTATATGTAGCCTATCCTCTCCCAGCATACGTGGTGTACATTCCTTATAAAGACGCACCGTGCACTTCTCCTCGCTCATTCAGTTGTGTGTCGTCGCTGTGTCGACTCGCTCGAAGGTTATAAATTAGTCCTGCTTATACCCTACCCTTGAAATGCGCGTGCTGATCTCGTAGGCATTACTGCCATGAACCATCAAGGTTGTTACTTCGTATGTCTCGCCGCACACGTACTTTGTTTATTTATCATGTGTGTATAAGACAACGCGAACTATGTAGCGCTACCCAGCTACTACCATACATATACCTCGAACTGTACATACTCTGAGGACTTACTTGGGACTCAACCCTGCACCCTCTGACTCCTAGGCCAGGGCCTGGATCTTGGGCCGCGTGCATGCTTGGTGTGGTGAATTGTGCAACCAGCTCTCGCCTATATCTCACTCAGTCCTCCCGCGGTTGCGGTCATCAAAGCATGTGCCTCGTTGCCATCATAGTACTTCTCATAGTACACAATACCACTCATAGTACAATTATAGAATAATCATAGTATAACCATAGTACACAATACCTCTCATAGTACAATTATAGAACAATCACAGTACACAATACCTCACATAGTACAATTATAGTATAACCATAGTACACAATACTTCTCATGGTGCACTATCAGGCTTGCACTGCCTGTCTTCTACGCTCACAGGCATTAAAATTATCCATGTGTGTTGTCTTGTTTGTGCTCCCGTCATGTCTATTAACATATCCATGTGTGTTGTCTTGTTTGTGCTCTTCTCTTGTCTATTAACATATCCATGTATGTTGTCTTGTTTGTGCTCCCGTCATGTCTATTAACATATCCATGTGTGTTGTCTTGTTTGTGCTCCCGTCTTGCCTATCAACATATCCATTTGTATGTCTTGCCGGTACCCCCCCCTCTCTGTGTGCTATAGGGCTCGCGCAGCAGCGAATTCTGCAACAACCTGAGTTCGTGAACTACCTCGAGTACCTGACATACTGGCGCACTCCCGAATACGCCAAGTTTATAGCGTAAGTATGCTGTGTTGTAAGATGCGTATATGTTAGGCTTTTCAATATATCTCTGGTTGTACGCGATTATGTGAGTGTGAATATATATATGTTGTTTGTTGGCTCGGCTAGTTGCCGTCCAATCCCGAGTAGTGCAAGTTCTTCCCCATCAGTATGCTGTTTCCGAGAGGTAAGTATATGCATTAACGAATAAGTCATATGTAGATATCTGTATACCTGTATACATATTATTTTATAGTCCAATGAGCCAGGGGTGATTGTTTAAACCGCGAAGGTAGAACTAATAAATATATTAGTATATGAGACAGAATATTCATTTTTATATCGATTTGTTATATCTTCTTATATTGCAAGAAAATGCAAGCCATATGCCCTTCTTGTTCAATCTATAATTGTGAGAGCAATGCTAATTTGGTGTCAAACTAACATATACGTATAAATACATAAATCTATATATATGTCTGTGTATTTGTGTATACACGTATATATTATGTAGACAATATCAACATGAGCGCGTATGCAATCAGCTCTATAATAAGCACGCGCACAAGTATGCTCAAACACGTGCATTCACTAATATCAATATCCCTTCAGGTTTCCGCATTGTCTGCACTTTCTCGACCTGTTGCAACACAAGCCCTTCCGAGACGCCGTAATCAACAATGAAATCAGAGATGAACTCCTTCAGCAGTACTATCTGCACTGGAAATCGTACTACCCAGGCATGGCCCCCAATACGAGCACAGACACACCCACCACGGAGACTACCACCGACGTCGCTATGACTAACGGCCACACGGAACAGAGTGCCATGAACGGAGACATGGCCCACGCCCCGTGAGTGGCTGTGCATGCTAGGTGCATTGCTGGATGCATACCTGTGCATTTATACTCGTGCATATATCTGTGTTTATACTCGTACATATATCTGCCTTTATACTCGTGCATATATCTGTGTGTATACTTTTATGTAGACGTATTCATTTCCACAACAGCCCCCCCCCCCAGGCCTGGCTCCCAATTCAGATGCATGTACGGCAAAGTTCGGTACAGAAATAGGTTCAGGCTCATGCATGGGTGTAGCTACATTGGAGGACAGACAAGGCCGTCTGCGCAGAGACATGGGTATGCGCCTTAAAGCAGTGTGATGTGCACGTTGAGGGTGTTACACGGGCATGGTCACCAGTACATGCACATACACACAAAAAACAAACATACAGCCCTGGGGCTATGTTGTGGGCACAGGCATAGGGGTAGGTATGATTAATGCGTGCATGGGAGGATATAGATGGACATCTCCCACAGAGGCATGGGGTATGCGCCTTAATGTAGTGTGGTGTGCATGGGAGGATATATATGGACATCTCCCACAGAGACATGGGGTATACGCCTTAAAGCAGTGTGGTGTGCACGTTGAGGGTGTTACACGGGCATGGTCACCAGTACATGCACATACACACACAAAAACAAACATACAGCCCTGGGGCTATGTTGTGGGCACAGGCATAGGGGTAGGTATGACTAATGCGTGCATGGGAGGATATAGATGGACATCTCCCACAGAGACATGGGGTATACGCCTTAATGTAGTGTGGTGTGCACGGTGGGTGTGTTACACAGGCATGGTCACCAGTACATGCCCGCACACACAAACACAGCTATATGCTTATCCTGTCGTGGGCACGGGCAAGGCGCAGAGGTTTTGTTGATGCTGTGTTCAGGCGCGGCTCATGCTGGGCTTGTCTCTGCTACACAGCCGTGTGGATATTGACCCAGGGCACCAGGCATGATTTCTGCGGCCGTAGATCCAGCGGATACTGAGTTTACGACACACTTGAATGTCTGCTACTACGGCTATTTGCCTTGTGGACTCCAGGCGACCCTTACTGAAGTGAACAGGAACAGCCTATGTATCACATACAGCTCCCATGGTAGGTATAATTGGCCCGGCTCTGCCACTGCAGATATCCTCACTCTCACCTGTCACACCAACACTACCAACACCGAACTTATCACCTGTATGCATTAAGGAGTGTTTGGGAAAAGGCCGGTTAGCCATGCACTGCCACTGGGATAGGTCAGGTAGATACATACAGTACCACTCACTCAAAGGCTTGTACTGGCCTGTGGGGAGGGCTCTCTGGTTCAGCTGATCGGAAGACGGTACTGTGTGGGGGGGTGTTTGACAATGCTGTATGCGTTTGCTGAGTCTGTGTTTACGTATACGTAGACTGGGCGCAGCACTTTATTATATTAAGTACATTAAACAACGGATGTATGGATATATACATGATAACTACATCAAAGGGAAGTACAATCAAATACATAATAACTACTTTAAAAAGAAATGTAGGTATACAACCTTATCAAGCTACGTTAAGGGACGCTACCCAGCTGGCACTTTCAGTAAAGAACATGTCATGTCACGTTATGTTGGGTTTCATAAATGGTTCTCATAAATTGGTCTCATAAATGGGTTTCATCAATTGGTCTCATAAATGGGTTCCATAAACGGGGCTCATTCTGCATGACTTGGATTGCCGGAGCTACAACCCATATCTACCACTAGTGAGTAGTGTCTACTGTGTGCGGCACGCCTCACCTAGTTATGTGAGGTGAAAGTGCGGTACATACGGACACCTCTGTCCACTTGTTTGCTACCAGCATAGCTCGCGCTTGGGTTTGGGAAGGTTGGGTTGGGGAAAGCGCTCAAGCACGCAGACGATACAGCAAGGGTCGGTTGCTATGCAACATACACTATCGATTCCCCGTCGATGGCGGTAAACGTTTGCCCGTTAGAACTTTGCCACTCATCCCGTGGCTATGCTGAACATCATAATGCCGGGGCTGTAAATTGAAACGTTCGCTGGAAACGTTTAGCTTTATTTTTGAGCTCCAGAGGGCCCGGACTCAACAATGCATGTGTCTGTTCAGTTGTGCATTTATATGTGGTCTCTGAGAACTGTCTAAAAACAGTATAATACACAAACCCGGCGCAAAAGAAAATGACTTCAATTTGTCTTTAGTCCGAGACGGACTGGTAAGAAGGACATAGTGGCCTGTACACTGTTTTCAGGGGAGTGGCTTTGTGATGTGCACCATATCGGAAGCAATGATATACATATATATATATATTTATATATGCAGGTATGTGTGTATGTATGTCCGTATGTATATATATGAAAGTATGTATGTATGCTTGTATGTACGTATGTGTATATATGTGTGTGTTTTTTTTGTATATATGTATATATATATATAAATATATGTATGTATATATATATATATATATATATCACAATATATATATATGTGTATATGTATATGTAGATATATATATATATGTATAATATATATACATATATATGTATATATATAGATATATATATATCTATATAGAAATGTATATATATATATATATGTATAAATATATTTATATCTATATCTATATCTATATATATATATATACGATATATCTATATATATATGTTTATATATATACATTATATATATTATATTATACATAAATATATTATATATTATACATCTATATATATATTTATATATTCTTGGCACATATCTACCACCTACCCACCACTAAGTACACCTTGCTTACATCTACCTACTCCTTTATCTCCTTCCCAGTCATCAGCGACCTTTATTACTGATACATTGCACAGCTTGTCATATCTACCTACCCCACTAAGTGCACCCTGCTTACATCTACCCACTCCTTTATCTCCTTCCCAGTCATCAGCGACCTTTAATACTGTGGCATTGCACACCATAGCATATATATAAATGTCCAGTAAGTATACCTTGCTTGCACCTACCACCTACCAACTCCTTTATCGTCTTTCCAGTCATCAGCGACCTTTATTACTGTGACATTGCATACCTTGGCATATATCTACCTACTCCACCAAGTACACCTTTTTTACATCTACCTTCAACTTTATCTTCTTCCCAGTCATCAGCGTTCTTTATTGCTGTGACCTTTCACACCTTGGCATATACCTACCTACTCCACTAAGTAGGCCTTGCTTACATCTACCTACTGTGGCATTGCACACCTTGGCATATATTTACCTACCCCACTATGTACACCTTGCTTACATCTACCTACTCCTTTATCTTCTTCCCCGTCTGGGCGGCCCATGACTTCAGGATCAGTGCACACACCTTGTCAATGCCCACGTGGTGTTTGCATTGAGTGAAGATGGTGGGGCCGTCTCCACGCATGCGTTTGGCATCTCTGTCCATCACTCCCAAATCAGCTCCCACAGCCTGAACGTATTGCAAACGGAATGAGTGGACGCCTGTTGTCTTTGTGTGGTGAGTGTAGCATATACGTACTACAAATGGAATGAGTGAGCGAGTGTCATCTATCACTGTGTGGTGAGTGTAACATGCACGTATTGCAAACGGAATGAGTGGGTGAGTGTCTTTAACGTTGCGTGGTGAGCGTAGCCTGCGCGTATAACATTACCTTAAGTGTGACCTCATCCACAAATGCGCGGTAATATCGCTATATTACCATCAGGGCCGTATGTAGAATACTTTAACGTATCAATTAACGCATTTCATTGAGGCAAACAATGTGAATCACTGCTTTCACGTTATCCGTTACAGAGTGCCCTTACTTTACAACGTCTCTGATACACCCCCGCCAAATCCGTTTAACGTCATTCACAAATGCTCGGTGACACCGCTATACTACCACCATGAACGCAGAATGTTCAAACTCATCTCTACATTTAACGCTTTTCATTGGGACAACAATTGCAAATCCCTGTTGTCCTGTTATCCGTTACAGAGTACCCTTTCTTTATAGCGTCTCCGTTCGTTATGAGCACTTTTTCTTTAAAACGTTTCGGTTTGTAACAGAGTACCCTTTCTTTATAACGTCTCTGACATACCTCTGCCAGATCCGTCTTGTTGATGATCAGCAGATCTGATTGGGTGATACCCGGTCCACCTTTGCGAGGCACCTGAGAGTTCGGCGAGACGATGTATGGGATATAAGTAAAGAAGAAAGAAAGTGAGTAAGGAGGACAGTATATGTGATATAAGTAAAGAAGAAAGAAAGTGAGTAAGGAGGACAGTATATGTGATATAATTAAGGAAGAGAGAGGAGAAAGGGATATATATATATACATATATATATATGTATAATATATATATATATATATATGTCTATATATATATATATATATATATATTATATATTATATATATAT